TCCCCCGCCCCTCCCCGCCCCCAGCGGGCCGGCCCGGGCGGCGACCAGAGCGGCGACGTGAAAGGCGAGCGAGGCGGCTGTCCGGCCGGCTGTCGGCGCGCACCCGCTCCCGGCCCAGCCCAGCCCCGCGCCGAGGCCGCCGCTCCCTCGGCGGGGCCCGACGCCAGCGTTCCCGGCGGCCGCTCCAGGGCCAGCCCGCGCGTGCGCCCGGGAGCCGCGCGCCACAGTCCCTGGCCGGGGCCCGGGACCCCTGAGCAGCGCGCAGAGCCCGACGGGCCCGCGGCCGCGATGCCGGACGAGCTGACAGAGCCTGGGCGCTCCACGCCGGCCCGCGCCTCCTCCTTCCTCATTGAGAACCTGCTGGCGGCCGAGGCCAAGGGCGCCAGGCGCGCGGCCCAGGGCGGCGGCGGCCGCGAGGACGAGGAGGAGGACGACGACGACCCGGAGGACGAGGACGCGGAGCAGGCGCGGAGGCGGCGACTGCAGCGGCGGCGGCAGCTGCGCGCGGGCGCGGGGCCCGGCGGGGAGGCGCGGGCGCGGGCGCTGCTAGGACCGGGCGCACTGGGCCTCGGGCCCCGGCCGCCCCCCGGCCCCGGGCCGCCCTACGCGCTGGGCTGCGGCGCCGCGACGCGCTGGTACCCTCCGGCGCACGGCGGCTACGGCGGCGGCCTCAGTCCGGACAGTGAGTGTGGGCGCCGGGAGGGGTGGGCGGGCGAGGACCGTGCTCGTGGGCTTTGGGTCCGTCGGAGGCCTTTCGGGGCTGCCCTCCTCCTCTCGTGTAGCGGGGTGGGTTTGGAGGCCCGCTCCTCGGGACGGGGTCACCACACGGCTTAGGCGTCAGCCCCCGTCGCCAGGCTCTGCGAGTCCGAGGGAGGCTGGAGAGCCAGAGGAGAGGAGCCCGGGGACCACGGACTGCTGAAGCCCAGCGAGGGAAGGGGCATGGAAAAAGACAGGGAAAGACGGAGAGCAGAGAGAGGGTGGGAGAAGAGGGAGGGAGGGAGGAAGAAGGAGAGGGATGTGGGGAGAGAGGAAAAGAGAAGAGGCAGACACAGCAGCCCCGCGGGTGATGGTGAGAAGACCGGGAGGTAAGGGGCAGAAGAAGTGAAGACAAAGTAGAGTCCAACCCGGAAGTGTGAAGGGGCTGGAGTAGAGGGAGCCACTGTTGGGGGGCTGGATAGTGGGGGGAGCGTCTGTGCCCCCAAAACCCCATCTCTGAGAGTTGCAGACTGGGGCTGGGGCCTGCGAGGCCTCCCTCTCGGTCCTGGGCAAGAAGGGAGCCGTTCTGAAGCCCCCAGACCCACCCCTCTCTCTTCCTTTTCTGCCCCTCCCCCTCCCTTGCCTTTGTTCCCTGCTCAGGGCTCAGATGCTGGGAGTGGGGGTTCTCGGCCCCAGAGCTGCTCACCCCTCTTGCCCTGAGTTCTGCTCGCTCTGCCCGGGCTCACCGCCCCCCTTGGAGACCTGCCCTTTGGAGGAAAACCCCTGGGAGGAACACCAGGAAGTCATTGGAACGCTGGCCCCCCAGGCCTGGCCATTACCCCCCCCCCACACACACACACTGTAAAGCCAGTGTGAGGACTGTTCCAGGCTCTTGCTCCAAAATCCGTTAGTGTGTACTGGGGGATAGGTGGCCAGACCCCTGTCGATAAACTCCCCACCTGGATGGGGAGTGATCCTTCTGCCAAGGGACCCACTTCCCAGAACCCATACCCAGAAAAGTCTGGGGTTTCCACCCCTTTCACGTACACTGGATCAGGGCTCTAGCATTTCCCTGAAATCAAGTGACCACATTTAGTGCCCCCCGACCCCCGACCCGGGAATGTTTCTGAGAAGGTCTGGCGGGGTGAGCTGTGGTCCCCACCTTGCCCCAGGTTCCCTTCCCCCCCACCACCACCCTGGTGGCCAACTCCTGAAGATGGGGCTTCTTATTTCGTGCAATGCGGGTTAGGGTCCAGGTTTGCCACCGAAGCTGGCAGGCCTGGAGTGGTGTCTTGGGGTAGCGCGTGGGCCTCTGTGAATCTGGGTGCTTAGGGTGCTGTGAAGAGACAGGCTTCTCCTGTCTGGTAGCACACAGGCCGGACTGGACCTGACTCCCCATCAGGCACCCAGAGGGCTTGCACCACGCAGGGTTGGGCAGGGGCACATACACGACTCCACACACCCCCAGGGGCCCGAGCCACACGTACAAGCCGAGCTTTGTGGGCACACCTTGTAAACACTCATGTTGCCGGCAGGCCCTGACTTCCGAGGGCACGGGCTGCAGGGGCCAACCTCTACTTAGACCTACCAAGCCTTGGCACAGGGTAGGGGGAAGGTGGAGGGACTCAAGCCAAGGGGAGGCGGAAGGGCATGCTGACCCTGATTGGCCTGTACCCCGCAGTCTGGGGGGTGGTGCAGGAATATGGACATGCACCTGGCAGCCTCCTTCACCTGGAGGCACTGTCCCCATCCCGTGCCAGTCCTGGGGAGCATCTCCTTACTGTTGGGAGATCAGGTGGAGCCCGGCATTTGGAGCACAAGCTCAGGATCCCTTGGGGCCCTTCTGTAACCCCAAGCCCCCAGGCTCAGCCAAGGCTGCAAGAGCGGTGGGGATGCCATGCAGCTGCTGTGTTTCTGCGGAGCCCCGTTTGTACTTGTGCTGGGGAGAATGGACAGGCAGGCCTCAGTGGGCGTCTGGGTGGACCCCAGTGCCACCTGGAGTTTTGTTTGGGGACTGTTTGCATGCATTTATTCTCCTTCCCAGGGATGTTTCTGTGCAAGCGGGACTTTTTGCGTCTGTCCGCATATGCAAGTGGCTGGGGAGGGTCACTGCAGGTCTTCATTTCTGTGTTTGGGGGACTTGGCATAGGGCTGGGTGCTGGGAGTCAGGGTGCCCTTGTTTGTAATTCGGAGGGGAGGATGTCAGTCCTTCCTTCTTCAATTCTTCATTGTGTTCCAGTGCGGAATCACTGGTTTCGGGAATCTCTTTTATGTGTTTCTGTTTGCATTTCTGTGTTTCTTTTCTTTCCTCTCTCCCCTCTCATCCCCTGGTGTGTATGTGCCTCCCTGAGCCAGGATGTGTTGCCAGCCTGCTGGTTTGTAGTACCGCTCACCTCCTCCCACCTTTCCCTTTCTCCATCCCTGGGTGAGCTCTCCAGGCAGCAGCGCGGGGATGCACGGGGACCCGTTTTCCAGGCAGCTGTGGAGAGGCTGCGGGTTGGGGTAGCGGCCAGCCGCAGTGATTGGGTCTGGGGATCAGCCCCAGAACCAACCGTGTGTCCCTCTCTCCCCTGCAGCCAGCGACCGGGACTCACCGGAGACGGGAGAGGAGATGGGCCGCCCGGAGGGTGCCTGGCAGCGGGCCCCGGGAGCCGTGCAGCGAGAGGCCGCAGAGCTAGCGGCGCGGGGCTCAGCGGCCGGTACGGAGGAGGCGGCCGAGTTGGCCGAGGCCCCCGCAGCGGCGGGCGAGGCGCGCGGCGGAGTCGGCGTCGCTGGCGGTCGCAAGAAGAAGACGCGCACGGTCTTCTCGCGCAGCCAGGTCTTCCAGCTCGAGTCCACTTTCGACCTGAAGCGCTACCTGAGCAGCGCGGAGCGCGCGGGCCTCGCTGCCTCCCTGCAGCTCACCGAGACGCAGGTCAAGATCTGGTTCCAGAACCGTCGAAACAAGTGGAAACGGCAGCTGGCCGCAGAGCTGGAAGCAGCCAGCCTGTCCCCGCCGGGCGCGCAGCGCCTCGTCCGTGTGCCGGTGCTCTACCATGAGAGCCCTCCGGCCTCAGCCGCCCCCGGCCCACCGGCTGCCGCACTGCCCTTCCCGCTAGCGCCCGCCGCGCCCGCGCCGCCACCGCCGCTGCTTGGCTTCTCTGGGGCCCTCGCCTACCCGCTGGCCGCCTTCCCGGCAGCTGCCTCCGTGCCCTTCCTGCGGGCGCAGATGCCGGGCCTGGTGTGAGCCCCACCCGCTGGGCCCACTGCCTGGGGCCCCTGGGGACCTCTGGGGCAGCCCAGGGAGCGCTGGGGGAGGGCCCCTCTGTGCCAGATCGCAGGCTGCACAGCCGGCCAGAGCCCTGTCTGAAGGTCGTCCAGAATGTAACAGAGATGTCCCCACCTCGGCGCCCAGACAGGCTGGACGTGTGGCAGGGAAGAGGACATCCAGGAGAGACACAGTGCCCTGCGGCCGGCAGCTCTGGCAGGACAGTCCTCCACCAGGGAGCAAGTTCAGCCGCCTCCCACTGCCCCACTGCGGCCAGCCAATGCCCAGGCCCACTCCACCAAGGCCAAGAGGCTGTTCAAGGTGCTTCGAGGTGACCGCTCCCCAGCACGGCCCCCACCCCACATACATGTCCCTTCCCAGGACTGCGCAGGACCCCGACAGCAGGCTTCCAGAGGACTGTGACCAGCCTCAAGGCCTTGGCAGTGGGCCCTGTGGAGGGAGAACCCCGGGGCAAGTGCCCCTGCACGGGGAAGGGGCGAAGACCGGCCAGTGGCCCCAGCGTCAGAGTGTCCCTTCCGCAGACAGGGCCAGGCTGGGGCTTCTCTCCTGGGCCATGGCCTCCAGTTCTTCTGGTGAAGACTTTTTTAAAAAAACGAATCTACTTATTTGCGTACGGAATAAAAGGGACGTTTTCTGGACTGTTTCTGCTGCTTTGTGATCACTGGGGCGGGGCCCCTCCTCCACTAGCAGGCTGCCGTGGGTCCTATCCATCCATCAGTCCGTCCCTCCTTCCTGGAGCTCTTTCTGTGTCGACCAAGGACCGGTGGCAAGGTGGAAAGGGCAGGTAGGAGTCCAGATCTGGGGACTCCTTGCTCCAGCCCCGTATCCTGGGAGGCCCGGCTGGTCCTCCGGGGGACTTTGCCGCAGGGAAGGTAAAGAGTTGGGGGGGAGAAGGGGGCTCTGTGGCCTGTGTCCCACCAGGGAAGGTAAAGGGTTGGGGGGGAGGAGGGGGCCATGTGGCCTGTGTCCCACCGTTCTGGGACCTCCATGAAACCTAAAAGCTGTGAGTCAGGTGGAGGTGGAGCCCATTGCCTCTGGCACACGGGGCTGTTGGCTGTGGCTGTGTGGGTCCCCCCATCTACAGCCCCTTTGTTGATGGCCATCTCTAACCATATGGGTTTTTCTTTTGGTCCAAACAAAACACGGACACTCCTAGCAAGGTCAGGTGGGGAATGGTGCTCTCCAGCCTCTCCTCAGTCCCTGGGCCATCTACAATCTCTGGCAAGCTTCAAGGGGGGATCCAGGTCGGTGGGCAAAGCCCCAGCTCAGGGCCTGAGTTTGTGGGCTCAGAACAAAAGCTTATTCCAGTAGTCTGGATTACATGATGGCCATTCAGGCTCTGTCCACCCCAAGATAGGCTGTTACAAGGTGACTACAGGGTCCCTTGCAAAGGAGGAGAGATGAAGGACCCTCTGTGGGGTATGCTTCTCCAGTTTGGGAGAGAGGTCATTTGGGGCTAGAAATTTGGGTCCCTTCTAACAGAATTGAGCCCCCCTTAGAAACCTGTGTCTGTCCCTCGGCTTCTGGCTCTTGGGCTGAGATGTAGTGACCGGCCACACCAGGGGCTCCTTGCTCGCAGAGGTGGCGCCAGACAGCCCAGGAGAAGGTGCCAAGGGGGTCTACCCTGCGCTGGTGGTCCATCTGTCTGTCTGCCCCTGCCATCCAGCTCCTGTATCTGGAACATCCCCAGCCCAAGGGCCAGCCAGCTCCCAGTGCCCAGAGGCCAGGCCTGGAAAGTGGGGCCTCCTGGTGGGGGTCAGCCCATGGCTTGGGTGGTCCTTGGCCTCTAGGTCCTTGCCTTCTGGCTTATGGTGCCCTCTGCATAAGAGAGATTCCTGGGCTCCCTCCCCGCCTCACCCAGCCCCTAACCCCACAGGTGCATTCCCGGTGGCAACCTTGGCTTTCCTTGGGCCCTTCAGGGGCCAGCTGTCCTCCTCTTTGGGCTGGTGGGGGAGCTGCCCCACACTGCTTTTCTCCAAACTAGGTTTTACTGAACTTTGGGAGGGACTTCTGATTTGCTTCAATTAAATGAATTTCCTGCTAGTTATTTTCCAAGGGTGTGGCTCCTGGTCAGTGGCCAAGGGGGACGTGGGGGTGCTCAGGAGGCCCCTCCAAGGGCAGCACCAGCCCATCTCTCCCTCTCTGCTCCCTCCCACTCTCCCCACCCTTCCCTAGGTAGGCCTCAACTTCCTGCTCCTGCCTCAGGCCCCACCTGGGGCCCTTCCCCTCTGTTCTTCTGGTGCTTTCCTGGTGGGCTCAGGCAGGCAGCAGTCCTCCAAAGGACGCCAGCCCACCTGGGCAGAGGCCTCTGGGGCCAGCACGGGTCCTGCTGGATACTGCCGTCCCCTCTGCCCCCTTTCCTTCATGCCAGACGGGTTTGGGAGCTCTGGGGAGCACCCTCTCCAGGGTACAGAGAAGAAATGGTTTTTGAGAACAGTTAGGGTCACGGGAACTCAGACGGTACAATGAAAGCCCAAGTCAGATTATCACTAGGAGACAATCATTTTATTTAACTGTTTGTGGCTGATGCAGGTACAGTCCCCAGGTAGCCTGGTGACCCTGCTGACCGCAACTCCCCACTGAGCCGGTGTGGCCAGGGTCCCAAGGCGGGTCACCCTAGGCAGTGCAGGGTGCTGCTGCCTGCGGGGGACCACAGGTGAGGGAGAAGGGGAAGGAGAGTGCGTGTGCTGCGTCTAGGAAATCTGTTCAGCCTCCTGGGAAGCCAGCCAGCCCAGGGACCGTCACCCTCACTGGCCACCCAGCCTGTGTCTGTCACTGCATCAAGTGGGGAAGGGTCTGTAGCTGCGAATTCGGGCAGGGTTTGGATGAAGGGCTGTCTTTCAATGGAGTAGTGAAAAGTTGATCTGTAGAGAGGCTTTCTTGCCTGTGGGCTCTGAGGTCTGTGGATGGAGGGAGCCAGGAGGTAGAAAGAAGGGCTGTGTCGGCTGTGAGGGAACAGCTGGGGTCCAGGAGCCTAACTTCAGAGTCCAGACCTGGGTTAGGCCAGCTCTGGGCTCCAGGAAGCTGGCTCCCCACCCCCCCATTCTGAGCCAGCACACTGAGTGTCGAGGCAGGGGTGCCACAAAGCGGAACAAAGCACAACTCACAGCCCAGGGAACCCTAGAGGGCGCGCCGGTCCAGGCTGGGGATGCGCTGGCCCCAAGCTCCAGCCACATCCATCCCCAGGAACCCAGGGCTCAGCGACCCTGCTCCTGGCAGATGATGAATGTCTTCGATCACTTACCACCACACCTGCCCTGCCCCCTCTAGAACCCACCAACCTCACCTCCTCCTTCCATGAGGCCCAATTCTCGCTACAGTGGACTAGTGGACTGTGCTGGGGCTGCTGGTTGCAGAGTCCCTGAGCCTAGGCAGGGCCGAGGGGCTCTGGAAACCCGGGGCAGGCCCACCTCAGCCCAGGCTCAGCCCCACTCCCCTCAGTGACTTTGAGCAAATCCCTCCTCCCCTCCATGCCTCAGTTTCCCCACGACAGACCTATGTGAAGACGGTGGTCTATAACCTGTAAGTGCTTCCCCTTCTCTGATCTGAGCAAGGTGACGAGGTTCCTGGGGCCAGGGCCACAGGGACACCCTCGCAGTGATGTGCAAACACGGGGTGGGAGGGGAGCAACAGCCCCCCTCAACACACACACTGCACAGTCCCCTGCTCAGTCCCCTTCCCCGGGCTGGCTTTCCACCAACTCTGCCCTGAAAAGAACTTGGAGAATCAGTCTCCTCTCAGAGCTGGTCCCCAGGACCTCAGAAGCTGAAACTCATCCTCACAGTGTTGGGAAAGGCCACCAGGGGCTCGGGTCCCTCCTTAGGCCAAGGGTGAATGGGGAGTTGCAATCTGGGAAGGATTCCCAGCCAGGTTCCTGCTCCATGTAGGCCTGAGCCACCTGGCCTTGGCCATGCCAGGCCCTGGGCTAGGAGCGCAGGCAGTACCCTCATCCAGAGCCCTGATGCAGGAGTGAAAACCCCAACAACCGCCCTTCTGGTTGGTGGCTCCCCACCCTCTCCACTTTGAGCGGGGAGCACCTGGCCTTCGTGCCCCCCAAGCCCACCCGGGGCCTCCCACTGAGGTACCTGTTGGAGGAAAAGCACTGCCCACTGACCCTTCTCAGCAGGCGTGGGTTACAGGTGGTCTGTGGCCTCTGTCCTCCTCCTGCCAAGTCTGGCCTGGCTCTGGGGGAGAGGCTATTCCAGAGCTAAGCTCCCCAGAAGGCAAACACACCTGGGTTCACTGAGGGGGCTGGGAGCTGGTCAGATGGGCACCATGAAGGAGGCAGAGGGACCAGATGGGCTTCTGTCTCTTTCTCTTATGTCTGCAGGCGTCTCCCTACCAAGCATCCTTAGTGGCCTTCTGGTCCCATCCAGCAATTCTTGGGGGAACTGAGGCTCCAAGAGGGGCAGAGACTCTGGGGAAGGGACTCAGCCATGAGGTCCTTCAACTTTCTTGCTTTCACCTTGTGCTAAGAGTTCAGCTAAGAGTTCAGTGGCCCATTCTGGGGGCCTCACAATGGGGTTCCTCCCCCCTGCAAATGCGCAGGCCCAATGTCCTCGCCTTCTTTCCCACCCTTCTGAAGCATCTGGATCCTTGCCTTTGGCTCCTTTGCCCTGCCAGTGGCCAGCACCCACATCTACCCAGCTGCTTGCCTATGGGGGGATGTAGCAGGGGTCCCACCGGGAAGTGGGGTCCGGCCTCCTTCAATTCATTAGCCAGAAGCATTGCTGAACTGGTGACCCAAGCCGGGTCCCCAAGGTGGCTCACACCCCACCCCCCAAGGCTGTCTGTCCTTTCAGGCAGAGGGAGGGGCTGGCCCCTCACAGGTGGACTAACCCGGGGTCTACCCTGCAGGGACAGTGCTGAGCTCTAAATCAGGACCCACATGTGAGACAAAGGCTCAAAGGGAAATCAAGAACCCCGAGGCAGCGAACAGGGCTTCCCCGCGCCTGGGCGGGAATGCACCCTAGCCAGGAAGCCCTCGCCTCCCTGCCGGCTCCCGGAGAGGCTGC